TTATTATATGGCAAGCAAGAGAAATTTAATTCGTTTAGTGTAACTGGTTTGTACTAGCCGACATTTTGCTCTCGAACGGCGATGAGCTGAACTTAATTCTGCCGAAGTCTGCCCGTCCTCTTTACTTTTCTTTTCTTTCCTTATCAGACTTTTTGGCATTGCCATAAATAAATATTGTTAGAAGAAAATAGTCAACATTTTTGCATTAAAGTTTGCAACTTTTTCACCGCAAAACATGACCGGTCGAGATGCTGGTCCAGATGGGAAAATCTAGCCCGCCTTCAATATCGATTTCAGCCAATCAAATTCTTGAATTCGGTAGTTCCCGGTCCTTCTGGGACACAGCCATATAATAATCTCGGATATTGCCCAGTTTTAGCTGGGGAATATTCGGGCACGTGACGTGTTTAGACCAATTGCGCGCGAGCGAAAATATTTGATGGATTATAATGCCGTTTTCTCCCTTGTTTAGCTGGGGAATATTCCGTCACGTGACGCGTTCAGACCAATCGCGCGCGAGTGAAATTATTTGATGGATTATAATAACATTATTTATTCTAAAGTTTCTGGTAAATATTTTTTCGCACCAAAAATGTCGAATCGAGCTTAAGCCGAAGTAAATGTGTATCTTCAGAAAACGTCAGGGACAAATTACAGCAGATGAGCATTGAAATGAAAAACAACATCCGAAGTGAAATGAAAGAAATGAAGGAAAGACTGGACACCTTGACTGCCTTATTGGAAGAGAACAAAGATGAAGGTCAGTTACCGTATAGCAGAGACTTACAAAGATATAAACACAAGCTTACAGGTCTCCCAGAAAGGTTACGCTATCAGTTGGATATGTGTGCAACCTGTCTTACTCTCTAATCTGGCGAACTTGAACAATATTTTGATCGAACGTCTTGTTGAATGAATTTTTCTGTATAGCGATCTTGCAAAGTCGTCAACCTGTCGTCCCTTCGTATTGTTCAGTGCAACAAAAACACGACAGGAGGTTAAACAAAATGGCTACTTGGTTATCCTAAGACATGTACTAAAAGACATTTTGTTGCTAGTTTTTGTTATCTATTATAGTGGACTCGAGGCTTGTCGTGCGAAACGTAGGATTTGAATAAAAACTCCCCTCTTCATCATTAATTATTCTAAAGTTTCCGGTAAATATTCATCTCAGCTCGATGTATCAGATACCTTACTCGACCTATTTATTCTATTTTTCGCACCAAAAAAATTAATATCTAATTGGGCTTAAGCAAATGTTAATATTTATCTTCAGAAAACATCAGGGACAAATTACAGCAGATGAACAGTGAAATGAAAAACAGCATCCAAAGTGAAATGAAAGAAATGAAGGAAAGACTGGACACCTTGACTGCCTCATTGGAAGAGAACAAAGATGAAGGTCCGTTGTAGGAGAGACTTAAATTAAATTATTGCTGCCAATAATTACGCAACGACCCTTGTGTCTTTCTCGTTGAAAGTATAATGGGCCATTTCCGAGTTGCCTCTTGCCTCTGTGTCAAAAGGAGTCTTTTTGCGAACTTATTCGTATGAAATGCTTTTCGACTACAGGTTCATTTTTATGCAAATCAAACTCTTTTCATATGAAAGGTTTTGCATGAATACTCGTTTTGAAACAGAGGCAAAAGGCTACTCGGGAATGGCCTATTTAATTGTGGAAAGGAAATCGGTCAGAGTTTTGTTGCACTCTTTAGTAAGGAGAGACTCTTCATGTTGTGTTGCAAATCCGTTAGTCTGATTGGTTTGTTCGCTTGTAACCCAAACTCAGAAAAACTCAAAGACAAGGTTGAGCAGATGAAAGATGAAATGGTAAACCTTGGGGAAAGGCTGGAGCACTCCCTGGAGAACTTGAGACTACAAAGCGGAGAAAGCGACGAAAGAGGTTAGTTGTACAACGTTTCAAGTAATATATTAGAAACGAAAGACCGTGTTTGACCACAAACACCGAGAAGAGAGTTGAAAATACGACGCGTAGCGGAGTATATTTGACGAACTTCAAGGTGTTTGGAAATGTGGTCAAACACTGTCTTGAGTGAGTGATCATATCTTGATTTGTAACTTTTGAATTTCTCTTTGTCAATCAACAAATTGGTTTGTTAGTCGTGTTTGTTGCCTGCAATTGTTAGGGTCAAAACACCAATCTAGACTCAAGTTCACTACTCAGGATCACTGACCTAGGTACTCCTAGTGAATGCCATTACATGTTAAACATTCAAGATGAAAGGGGTGATGTGAACTCAAAGACAGGAAAGTAAAGCAGGGAACCCAGCCAATGCAACAATTGGGCATAGTTGAGGATCGATATAGAGAACGGAAATTCTAATAGAAGCCAAAATCTCTACTTTCTTTGACAAAACACCTTGATCTTTTAACCATCAGAACGATTGACGGATGACCTCAACAAGATGAGAAGTGACATGAAAAATATCAGTGACAAGCTGGACGCTTTGACAGTACATGTATCAAGACAAGGAACAAAGGATGAAGGTAAGTTCCCAAAACTGATTAACAAAGCTCAGCCGAAAACTCAGTAAGAGGTATTTCTTTGAAGGTGTAGCCTAGGAAGACTAGCAGCGTTTTATTGTGTTCTTTATTTTTTTTCGTTTGAAAATAATTGAGGATGTAACTTCAAAGAAACGTGGTAGCTGGCATGTTTTGAAAGCGGAACAGCCAATTCAGTTGATGACCAGTACCAGTGCTAATATTGTAGTTAAGGTTTCAACGCAGAATCTTTATTAAAGTGGAGTAAATGTTGATCCACAGGAAACCTCAACGACAAGTTTGAGCAGATAAAAGATGAAATGCAAATGCAATTGCAATTCTTGGAGAACTTGAGGACGCAAAGCGGAGAAAGCGACGACAAAGGTCAGTTTACAAAGTTCTAATAATAGA